CGAGCCTCCGAACTGCAGATCCATTGGTCCATCCTCTCTATCTCCCGCCGCGCGGCGCGCAGACGCATGCTGATTTTGTAGGCGGTGTACAGCCCCTTCACCGCCCCATGGATGCCCTCTCGAAATACGTCGAAATCCTGTCGTCCAACCATCGACTGCTGGACCTCTGATGGAAAAATCTATCGAGCAAACTCGACCGCCACCCCTGGGTCCTTGATAATGGAGTCCGCCTCCGTCATCGATTTATTCCCCACGAAAACTGCAAAACTCAACGGTCGCGGAGAGCTTCCCCGTTGTTGTTTCTCCTTTTGGGGTGATCTGCTTCGACGACTTGAAGGTTGACGTTTTTCCCGTTCTTTGGACGCCCCACTTCCCGCATGGATAGTTTCTCTGCCGCGATTCATCGCAGTATCAAGCTCAGCCAAAGTTTGACCTTCGCCTCTGCTGTTGAAGAAAACTCTATTCGACATTCGCGACAAGTTGTCTTGAATTACGTCTGAACACAAAAAGCAAAGTTACTGGCGCGAACAGCCCATTTATTTCCAATGCCCGCAACGACCCCGAGGCAATCTCATTAACACTACTCTCCAAACGATGGATACTGATTTTGGCTTTTAAAACGGCCTAGTTATCTAAACGGCAATTTTAGATGAATGCCTTGGAGTTCATGCACTGGCTGAGGCAAGGGTAGATTTATTAATCTATACGGCCGAACACCTTGGCCTCATGCCAATTGATATGTGCCACAGCCACTTCATGCACTGATTTTGGCTTTTAAAATGGCCTAGTTATCTAAACTACAATTTTAGATGAATGCCTTGGAGTTCATGCACTGGCTGGGGTAAGGGCAGATTTATTAATCTATTCGGCCGAACACCTTGGCCTCACGCCGATTGATATGTGCCACAGCCACTTCATGCACCGATTTTGGCTTTTAAAATGGCCTAATTATCTAAACGGCAATTTTAGACGAATGCCTTGGAGTTCATGCACTGGCTGGGGCAAGGACAGATTTATTAATCTATCCGGCCGAACACCTTGGCCTCATGCCGATTGATATGTGCCACAGCCACTCCATGCACTGATTTTGGCTTTTAAAACGGCCTAATCATCTAGTCGGCAAGTATACAAAACGTTTTTATTCACAACAGCAATCGAACAATTCCATTCATTCACAACAGCAATCGAACAATTCCATTCATTCACAACAGCAAAGTACAAAATGAATTTTCATTAAGTAAATTGGCGTAGCCAATGTCACATCAGCAGCAGCAAGGGCTTTGAGCCAGCCGTGTTTAAATCCCCGATTCTCAAATTTGGGGACTTCGTTTACATATTCATCATAAGCAGATTTTTTCCCAGCATCGAATGCGCTGGAAACCTTCAGGTCGGCTGTTTCCTTCGCCGCCTTCATCCTTTCCAACTCAGCCTCTAATTTAGAGATTGCCTCCTGGGCCAATTTAAGCGCGTCGTCGCTAGCATCTGCCCTCCTCTCGGCGACTGACCTCAATTCTTCAGCATTACGGGCTCTCTCCATCTCGGCCTCAGCACGGGCGCCCTCCGTCTGCGCCCTACTCCTTTGGCCCTCAACCTCCGCTTGTAAACGGCCAATTAGCTCAACAACTTCGTGATAGCGACGGCCCATGTCGACTATCCTCCCGACGGCCTGTAAGACAGGAAGTTAAGAACAAAATAATATCCACATAAAGAAAAAAGACAAAATCCAGATATATACCAAAAAAGCCGATTACGCGGCCAACGCAATGGCAACCAGATCAGGCTCTGCCCGAAAAGCCGCCTTGTCAGCTGGCAGTGAAATGGACGTCGCCAAGCTGAGTGCAACCGCTAGATCTCTGATCACCGAAGCGTCGGAGGAGATCGGCGTATTTTTTATCTTGGGCTGAACAACAAAGGGTACAATCACATCCGACTCCTCCAAGTGAGGTCATTTGTCAGCACGGTCTTCCTCTGAGCCGACCTCGACATCGGCAGGGCGCTTCTCCACCCTTGGCTCAGCTTCTACACTTGCCTGTGCAACAGGTTCCACCTCTATACTTCCGTCTTTTGCCGCCCCCTCCTCAATAACAGGCAAGGACTGGGACTGAGATTCGGCAACCCGAATCTCCTCCACCCTTCGCCGCGCAGCCATCATTTCCGCGTTCGCCTTCTTGGCAAGTTTAGTGAGGCTCAACCCAGCCATATCTTCTGGGTACGCACCGGGAAGATCCTCCAGACCGTGAAAAATATTGTCAAGTGAACAGTCCTCTCAACCCGAAGTGGACGGAGGATCAGCCAAACTAAGGCCGGCTTCTTCAAATGCTAATTTCAAAGCCTCGTCAACCTCAGTTTCGGATTCTTCTCATTCGTCAGCCTCAACTACTTTCGATCGCTCCGAATCTGATCCCTCGCAACCGACTTGTCTCAAATTTCTGAAATCAGTCAAGATAAGAGCAATAAGAAACTCCTTACCCTTCGGAATCAGTATATTTTCCACCGCCGAAAAGGTCGTATAAGTCGGCTCGAAGCGGAGCAGGACGTGGGCCGCCCTCCCCTGCTTCTGAAGACTCCATCGGCCGAAATACTTGAGTGCAGTCTTGATTTCCGAAAGGACGACGTCGTCAGTCGAGGTCAAGATTTTCTTCAAATCTTTTCCTAGAAAAGCAAAACCATGAGGTCCCGAAAATGAAGTTTTATAAATATAACAAATAAATAAAGGCAGATATTCAGCCACCTGGTTCTCCCCTCCGTCTAGGAATAAGATCAAGGCGCTCCTCGCCTTCGCCGAATTCCCAGTTTCCTTGGACAACGACCATAACATCATCAACTCGCTTCCCAGAGCTGGAAAGCATAGTCACTAGTTGATGGTCGGTTGCTTTGGCCCTAAGGAAATAACGCCCGTGCCGACCAGAAGACTTGGCCAAGGCGTAGCAATGCCGAATAGCGGGAATGCCAAGGTTAAGCCCAAGGCGGCGGCTTAGAGCGACAATCCCCATCACGATTCTAAAGAAGTTGACGTTGGATTGGGAAGGGATTAACCCCCAATGGCAAAGCACGGCCCTAAGGAGTGGGTGAAAAGGGAACGGATCCCACCCTCTGCGATTGATAGAAGAGGGAAGACGATCGTGGTTTCATCAACCCTCTCCATATCGAGGGTGCCGTCTGCCACAAATGACAGACGAACGTCGTCAGGAATGGAAAAATGGCATCGAAAGCCAGAAATTCGATTCGGTGAGAGGAGATCTTTTAAATGTTTCGCCATTCTCCCCAGTCAATAGGGTTATGCTAAGCCAAAAAATAAAGCAAGGAAAGAGATTCAAATTAAAGAATGAGAGAACTTACAAGAGGCGAAGGAGATGAAGAACAGTAGGAAGTTACAGAGGTAGCTCGGAAGGCAGTCTAACGACGGGCGTCTAAATACGTGTATGCATTTGAAAAGACGTTGAAATTTTAAATCACAATAAATAGAAGTGTACGAAGAGGCGGGAAGTTGAAATGATAACCAAGAAGCATGTGCACAGACATTTGCATTGGAATGCGGTCAGCCGCCAAATTTCAGCTCTGGCTCTTCGAAGTTCTAAGCCAAACACTCTAGCCAACTGTCGTTAGTGGAGCGTTTAGGGGGCAATTGTGGGGGCCGAATATTGGGAGTCGTAATGATTCCGAATAGTCGAATCTGAGAGTCGGGATTCAAAGCATTCGGCGATCGGCTCGAAAACTCAAATCCAACCCTACTCAGCCAAATAGCCGATTAAGCAAGGGGCGAGTGAAGATCAGTCAAATATAAAATATGCCGAATAGGAGGTTGAAAATGGATCTAATCCCGAGGTCCAAAGAGGAAAGGATATAAATAGATAAGACATCAGCCAGAAAGAGGTATGTAAAAAAAGAGTGGTGCTTAACTTAGGATACAAGCAATATTGAGTGTGAAACTGACTTGCCCGTCGGAGTGCTAATTCCGGCACCCCCGACCGGAGTGTTCATTCTTTTTTAGGTGACTAGAAGAGGATCAAGAGCGTCCCCCAGGATCAGAAAAGTATTTCCAAAACCACTTCTCCACAGATATGATATAGGATTTATGAAAGGGTGGCCCTATTCATACTCCCATTTTTACTAGATGCACTCTACTTTTTTATTTTTAGTACGAAAAATTATAACAAAGCCCTTCCAACTTTTATTCATTACCTTTATTGCCCCTCTTAAACTTTCATACTTCTGTCTTTTCTACTAAGAAGAACAATTCTGATATTTGTGCAAAAGTTGCATAATAAGGACAAAATATATAGTATTTTTGGTAAAAGGAGGATTGTTAATAGTGTCACTCTTCGCGAAATTTAACTTCTTAATTGACACAACTAACAAAAATTTTTGGAGTCGCCACTACACATCCCCTTTGTACTCGGGCAATGTGGGACTTCACTTCACACACTCGCTCAAGCCCAGTGTACAAGGCCCGGGACACATACCTTACCCAACAATATCATGTCAAATCACCATTTGTCCCAAAAGCTTAAACTATTAGGAAATGGGACCATCAAGCTATGACAAGGATGGCTAAAAATGTAATTCATTTGCATGGCTTCATAGTATTTGAAGCTTGATGGTAAGTTCAATAATTCCATGTCATAATTAACATGGTATTTTTTATCTTATTCCAAGAAGTGAAAAAGAATAAAATCACTAAGAAGGAATTCACAAAAGCCTTGAAGAATCATAACTTACGGATCATTTGCATCCTCAGCAAACTATATATGAATTCCAGGAAATAAATTGACCAAAAGGCTTTGGCAATAATAACTATACAACATCAGAATGTAATATTCAGACCACGTAATAGTGCCAGTTTTGATAAAGAGCAAGGTGGACAAAAGGCTTGAACCAGTAAAGCTGTCAAATAATTTAACTCACTAAAATAAGCAATGGCAAGGTCAATAAATATCATGCATTTAGCTGTACAAAAGTTTCTAGATCAAGAAGTGAAAACAAAAGGCTAAAAGCCATACCTCATGGATGACAACTTCATAGTTGTTGGATTTAGCACAATAATGTGGTACTGTTGATTTGCTGATGAGTCATCAAGGTAAGCTTTTAAACCATTAACCTTTAGGTAAGTACCGAGTGAAATTTTCCCTTGACATGTATAAATTTCATTATCAGACTTAGGAATGTTAATAATTCGAGGTTCCTTCAACCTGAGGCATTCTAGTTCTGCATCATCCAATTCTTGCCAATCACTAGACAAAACAAGGTCAGATCTCAAAGTTGGCCAAACAGCAAGTTCGATGTTGTGGACATCAAGTGCAAGGTGAAGATCTTCCTGCCTAGCAATGTGACTTTCATTTGTATACTCACCATGGAACCCCTCCTTCCTCAGTGATATTCGGATGAGAGGACCAGCAACGAATACTGCAATTTGAATATGTTTCTCTGGAAGCATGTTAAGCATTGTCTTCTCCATTTCACCAACATATGACTTGCATCTACCATCCCAACTGATCTTTGGTGGGATCTCACATGTTAGTGGAGTAGGTAAAAGAACCTTTGATCTCCCAGTGCTGTGAGTCCAGCCAAGAGCATATTGAAACTGTCTAAGAACTAAAGCAGTTGATAGTATTGATGGATAATCCAAAACAAAGTTCAATTTTCCCACCATCAAACTGCATTTCCAAAACCCAGAATTCAAATTCTTGAGGCTTTGATCCGTTACAAAACTTTTAATCTCACAAATAATCCATGGATTTTCCAAATACTGAATCCCACCTTCTTCAAATTTTGTGCAATATTTTTTCCAATTTAACCTCATCTCAGCTAAAAAATTCCATAAAAATGAGACAGATGTCCCGTCAGTTTCATTACTAGTAGCAGTTGTACTATTTTCTGGACAATAAAGCATTTGTGCAGGCTCAGCCAAAAGAATGGTCTTTGAATCATCAGCTGTCTTTTTCAAGTGTCCTTTCAGATAACTATTGTTATTCTTTGAGCCATCTTCAGTAGGAGACGAGGACGTAACCTTCAAAGGCCCACATGAAATGGAAAAACACTGTTCAAAAATGTTTTCTGTGTACATTAAGACGAACCCATCAATTGAAACACAAAATGAAAATAAATCCGAGGATGAGCTCCCAACATCTGAGATTGGATCCCCACCAACAAGAGACTGAACCTTATTCACTGGGGAGATAAAAATTGAAATTATTCCCATGCTTACACTGAAGCAACTTTGTGCACAAAAATCTTCAGAAACAACTCCAAACTGTTCATCAATCTGTGGATGATCAGCAAAAAATATATGCAGAAGCAAGCTTATTAATGAGTTGAATGTTCTGCATATAACACTCCAAATAAGTTTTAGGAGTATAAGGACCCTACTGAAGAATTTGAAGCGACTGGTGACTAGCAATTTATTAGAACAATTCTTCGTCTGTTGAATACTTAATACTGCTCTGTAACGAGCTATTCGCCGTGCCCGTGCAATAGCCTCAGCAGGCACCTTCTTTTCAATTTCAGAAACACTCCTCCATTGTTTTTTAACAGCTATTGAAAATATGTCATCCTCAGACATCTTAACAGAAGATCTTTTCATAATGTCGTCCACAGGATATCCAACTAATAAAAGTAGATTCTCATAAGCATTGACATACTGTAACCACAAACACACAATACCAACCAATTTATACAATGACCATCTACGAGTAGAAATCAGAGAACTGATTCTGCTTGCAGCTATGTTCCATAGGTGACTACCATTTCTAACAGAATTGGATTCATAGGATGAGAGTGTATAAAACACTAAAATAATAGGAAGCTCTACCGGAGAAATTGAAAAACTTAATTCTGGAACATTAAGATTGAAGTCCATAAGCTGAAGATCTTTCAATTTGAGGCGAGTGAACAGATCCAATAAAAGTATAGGACAGCTGATGTGATCTCTTCTCTTCAGCCCAATCTGAAAACCTTTCAGATCAAGACTGAAAGAGCTCTCTTTCGAAGGAGCAAAAAGTGAACTGATAAGCCCTCCCAGAAAACACCGACCCTCAGCATACAGAGATTTTGCATTAAGCTCCTTAGTCTCACACAAACATCCAAAGGAATCATTTGAGACAGGAAACTGAACTAGCAGATGAATGTCATGCATCTGCAACTGACAACGTTTAAGTATAACATTAAGGAGAGAAGCCTTCTGATTTCTTGAGGGATTGATGTCTGATAACTTTTGCATAACTTCATGCAAAGAAACACCCTGAAACCCAATAAAGACTCTGTGACTACTACTGCATTTTGCGGCCAAAAAAAAAAAAAAACAAGCATGTTATAAGAAACCTAGTGTTGATTGTACTCAAACATGTATAAAGGTCTCATAGTCAATATTAGTTCAGTATTGAAGAATATTTAGACTTCGATTTGCATGCATTAATGCTCCAGCTAATTGAATGGAAGTCGATTATAGGCTAGAGAGCAGTATATCTTTTCTTCTTTTTTCTAAAAAAATCCACATCCTGTTTTAACATATAAAGGCAATTGCATTTTATGACACCAGTGGTGGTTGTTTCCTCCTCCAATTTTCTTCCAGCATTGAATCACAAAGGTTCAATACGAACTGATATCACCATATTAACTGATTGGCACAATAGGATGTCAATTCCATTGTAGTCTGGCCATTTTTTTTTAAGAGCTTTATAAGCATAAATGCTACCTATACCGTATGATTAACTTCACAAGACAGCCTATATAAATGCATCTTACTTTTTTAATTAATCTCTTTGTTACCAAAAAAAAAAAAGGATAGAGAATTATCTACTTTGTGGTCCATTATTTGTTAATTGTTTAAATGTTTATAACTTTCTCACATGATACAAGTAGCTCTCACATAATACATTTGTACCTTAAAGCTTATCTTTATTCCTTATCCATGAGAAGTTGCTTGTTCTCAGCTCAACTTCAAATCTTGGGGATCGTTACATCATTCAAAATTGAAGATATTTGCAAGATTGCGACAATGAAACGTCTATTTTCTGCCAGAAAATTGTCAAAACTTAACTGTGCAAAACAATGGATGATGATTTCTAAGAAGTTACTTGGCCATGTGCATGGAAAAAGACATTGCTTGAGGTTTTGATGTTGATTCTATCATATATGCGTTTCAGGTTACGAATGAGCATCGAACACATTGCTTGATTCATTTTGTTTTAACTCTACTTCTTTCTATTATGACAACAGAACATATATTTCCAGCCAGAAAATTGTCAAAACTTAACTGCGCTACATGATGGAGGATGATTTTCTAACAAGTTACTTGGCCGCATGCATTGAGAAATACATTGTTAAGGTTTGATATTGATTCTCATTCTATCATATGTGCATTTTATGTTATGAAAGAGCACTGAACACAATTCTAGATGCCTAGATAAAGCAATAATTGATACATATATATATATATATATATTAATATGCTAATCATCAAGGATGCATGAGAATGAAGTCAATTGTATTTTGATCATATTTTCTGCAATGAAGAAAGATGGCATAGTTATTGTAGTTGACACCTCAAATGAGCCAACCGATGGGTAAGTGACATGTGGCAATTGAAAACCCAATTGAGGTCATTTAATAAATAATTAAAACCCATCAAACATATTAGTTTCATTTATGCTTGAAACGAATAGCCAATGATTGGCTAACAACAAACACACGTGAGACAAGGCTGTATCTAAGAGAATTTGGATAAGAAAAATTACATAAAATAGGTCCAAAACTTCGTAGAAATTAGAAGCAATTAAGAATCATGGGCAGTTAAGAGGAGTTAAGAAGAATTGCAGATATGACATTTGTGAAAGTACAAAGAATAAGCTCTTCGTCAATTCAAATTTAAACATTTTAGGAGGGAAGAAGTAAGACATGTCAGAACCAGAAGACCAAGTAAGAGAGAATACTTGTTCAGAGCAGTTATCAGCAGTTGAAGACTGCGCCTATAAACACAAAGGCCAATCAAAGAAGAAGGCCTTGCTAGACTCAGAAGAAACTAGACTCAATATTTAGGAGCAGTTATCAGTAAATAAGAGTATATTCCAGTATTTGTAATCATAGAAATAGCTTCGAAGACAGGAATAGCAAAGATAATGTAAACATCCATGTAATTGTATTGTTCATTTAATCAGTTGCAATATTTCTTTTGATGATTGTATTGTTCAGTCAATCAATTACTTCTTCTCTCTTTCTCTTTCTCTTTCTCTTTCTACTTATCCTTAATTGGAACCGTTAACTCATTCAGCTGGTACGTTGTCTTTAGTTTTAATCAGAAAAGGTTATTCAACCTTTCTCACATGGCTAAATTACATTTCTACCATTCCAAGGAAAATATATCAAAAGTCAATTTTTTTTTTTTCCCGGTTTTCATTTTTTTTCCATATTTTGTGTTGGTAGAAATTACTATTGTATTTCACATGAATGTTGCAGGCGTTTTTGGCTGCATATACATTTGCCCCTGCTACTAAGCATATGGTAGGATTAACTTAACAATGCAATGCCTACTAGGGCTGCAAACGGGTGGAGCCGTGCCGAACTTTTGAATGTTCAAGTTTGTTTACTAAGATTTAGTCAAGCTCGAGCTTAGCTCATCAACTATTTGAGAAACTCGAGCTTAGCTACAGCCAACTCAATTACATAAATGAGCCCAGTTCGAGCTCAAGCTCAAGTTTGAAAAAAATTATACCTAAATTAATTTACGTATTAAGATTAAAAAATAGAAAATATTAATAACAAATTTCAAGGATCAAATATGTAAATTTACACAAATACCAAATATAAATAGAAAAAATAAATAAATTAATAAAAAAAAATTAATATATCATTAGAAATAACTATTAATTTATTTTCTTTAATTCACAAATCGAGCATTAATAAATGAGCCTAAAAATTAAGCTCAGAATTCGTTCATTTAGTAAACAAACTAGTGCCTGGATATATGACCAAAAAAAACCCATTTTCCTTTGAGTGCAAGACGAATACCTCGGGATCAATTACAGCTAGAACCTTCTTCCTATCCTCCAAAGCCGTATCAGTTGATTTCCGCCTCGCTTTCGAACCTCTCTCCTCCTTCAATTTCCTTCAAAAACAAAAAACACGAATTGTAACTGTATGAATACCAGAGAGAGAGAGAGAGAGAGAGAGAGAACGTTAACTTACCCTAGTGATAGAGTGACATGAACACCGCGAACTTCGAGAATGAAAGTGGGGACAGACCAGTACGCCACTCGAAGGCTCAACTGTTGGACTGTAACGTCTTTGAAAGACCAGCGAGCGGACTCGTCGAATAGCTTCTGATTGAGAACCGAAGCGTCGAAGCTGAGGTTCTTGGCGACTCCGTGAGAGCGAAGAAACCCTAGTTTGAGTTCCAATTCCGGGTCTCCTCGCAGCCATGGAAGCAACAGAGAGGCTAGCTTCCGCTGAATCCAATCGTTTAAGAACATGATCGGCCTGGTCTAGGAAATGGGGTGTGATTGTGGGTTCGATTGCGATTTCGCCATTGAACGATTGATGCGAAGAGAGAGTAGAGATTGATACGAAGAGAGTAGAGAAAGGATTGAATGTGGGGGTGAATTGGGTTTTGGGGAGTGAAGCTTGTCGGCTGGAAGGTTCGGGGGCTTGGAAGTGGAATAGTATGATGATGGATAATAACGGAAATTGATTTTTCAAGGCAAGCACAAACTTTACAACTGTCTACTGTGTGATCGCAGTGATACGGCTTCAACGCAATTACATGTTATAATTAAGGACAATGATTGGAGGCTCAAATTTGTCGAATTTGTATGGTCTGAATGGCTTAAATGTGTTAAAATAATATTATTTTATATTTAAAAAGACGTTATTTTGATATTTCGAGCTAAGAAAATTTTGACTACTTAGTATTATTGTATAATTAAGGGATTTTTATTGATAAGTCCAATTTAGAAGTGTTTTAACCCAATAAGTCCATGAAGAAATTTTTTAACCCATTTAGTCCCATGTATGTATAGTTTTATTCCATAAAGTCCATTTTCTTAATTTACACTATTTTCTTGGACACTTATACCCTTATATTTAATTTTGATACCCTTATAAATATTTTTTGAACGATTAGCAATTTAATGATGTAAGCATTCATATTTTAAAATTCACATTAGTAGGAATGTAAAATTGGCCCGTTGGCGGCCCGAAATCCGGCCGCGAGCTGGGGTGGGCCCGGTCCGTTGACAATGTGAATATTCACATTGACATATTAGCATTCACATTAATAGAAGTGTAAAATTGACTCCCGTCCCGTGGCGGCCCGAAACCCGCCCGTGACCCATGGCCGGCCTGGGGCGGTCCCGGTCCGGCCCGTCGACAATGTGAATATTCACATTGACATGTTAACATTCACATTAATAACAGCATAAAATTGGACAGCAGCCCAGGGCGGGCCCGACCCGGCCCGGCCCGTTGACAATGTGAATATTCACATTGACATATTAGCATTCACATTAATAGAAGTGTAAAATTGACTCCCGTCCCGTGGCGGCCCGAAACCCGCCCGTGACCCATGGCCGGCCTGGGGCGGTCCCGGTCCGGCCCGTCGACAATGTGAATATTCACATTGACATGTTAACATTCACATTGATAAGAGTATAAAACTGGACAGCAGCCCAGGGCGGGCCCGACCCGGCCCGGCCCGTTGACAATGTGAATATTCACATTGACATGTTAACATTCACATTGATAAGAGTGTAAAATTTCGGGTTTTTTTTTTTTCACAAAATCCCTTTGGCTCACTTTTTCTCTCAACTTACACCTCTCTATTCTTTATTCTCTCATTTTTTTATCCCTCCCCGGGGTGTTTAATGAGTGAACACGAGGATCGACATGGGCCGGGCCCCTACACATTGATGATATGAACATTTACGTTGACGGTGTGAACATTCACATTAAGGGTATTTTGGTAATTATGTCACCCATAAGACTTATTGAAATATAAGAAAATAATGTGAAATAAATGGAACATAAATAGATGAAAAGGGTATTTTGGTCTTCTTATCTCAAATTGGACCTAATGTAATAGTAAAAAAGAATATGGGTTGGATGGAATAAAACTCTTAGAAAATGGATTTATCAAAAAAGCTCCCTATAATTAATTATAAATTTCATATATTTATAAATATTTTATATATATCTCTATTAGTTAATCGAGATTGGTCTTTTTTCTTAATTTTGTCATTTTATTTTGAATAATTCATTAACAGTATTCTATGTATTGAGTGAAATTTTTTTTCGTAATTATGCAAGTATTCTTAATCAATTATGAAATATAAATCTTTTATTTTTTAACATATTACAAATACACCTATAAAATTTGTTTAAAATATAAATCGGTCTTATAATACTAGAAATTACAACTATCATTTGTTATAAATTTTAATTTAACACAATAATCATAAAAAATAAAAAACTTTTCTCCCATGTAATAAATTATCAAAAATTTTATTGAAAAATATTTCTCACATCATTAAAAACTGTTAATTTTTTTAATATTTTATTTATTAACAAAGTGGTTAACTATAAAATATTTTTCGTATCATTAAAAATTGTTAATTTACTTAATGATTTACTTATTAATAAAATTAGTCATTTGTTATGCGAATATGATTTATGTATTAATAAAATTAGTTTTTTTAATATTTTATTTATTAACAAAATGGTTAATTGAAAAATATTTTCCGTATCATTAAAAATTGTTAATTTACTTAATGATTTACTTAATAAAATTAGTCATTTGTTATGTAAGTATGATTTATGAATTAATAAAATTAGTTATTTGTATATATTTATTTTCTTCTGCTTCTTTATTAGTTTAGTGAATTATCTCAGCAGGTTTTTTTAGATAGAAAATTATCTTAGTATTTGTTTTATATTTATGTGTTGAGAAAAGCTACACTACACACCATAATTTTTTTTGAGTGATTCTACTTGCGCAACTACTTTACCTTTTTACACCCTCCATATGAGTTTTTTTTTTTTCTTCCAATTTTATCCATGTGTGAAATTACTTTTAAGGACAAAATACTAAAATTAAATATATTTGATTATCTCCTTACACCCCTTGGTCTTCAATCCCTACTCTTTTTTCCTTTCTCAAGTTTTCTTTTCTCTTACACATCTCTTTTGAAAAAGTGAAAATCATAATGTTTTGATCATCAAATGAAGCAATAGATGAAGAATTGGTGGTGAGGAACTATAAAAAAGTGAAATTGTGAGTTTTTTTTATTTGTTTGATAGGTTTTTGTTTCAATTTTCTAGGCTAGTCTTCAACTTTTGTTCAGTATTTTGAAATCGAACAAAATAACATAGTCCGGTATCAAACTACCGAACAAAAAATATAAGTCTGGTATCCAACTGCCGAATAAAATATACATTTCTGGTAATATAAAGCCAGACTGTTTAAATTTGTTCGGCTACTCATTGCCATGTATGTTCAGCTTCATTGTTTTTTTTTTTTGCTTTGAAGGATTATACTTATACTCATTGCAACAACGCATGTATTGCATTATTAGTGGACTCCAATCATGAATTTATTACAGACGAGATTTGTTAAGTTTTTTTATAAATACAATTTTTTCTTATTTTTTATTTGTATTGAATTTTATTAATAATTTAACGTATAAATGTATTTATTATGTTTAGATTTTTAGTAGTCGTCAAGCATTAATTAAACAGGCTTTTGACGTTAAGAGAAAGACTGGATTTGCCATTGTTGTAAATACATCAGATACGGGAGGTAATGGCAAAAAACTAAGACCTTACCCTTACTTATGAAAGAAGTGGTTACTATAGAGATAATAAGAAGATCAAGGGGAAACGATTGAGCTTGACAGTTTCTAAAAAGTGTGGATGCTCATTTCTATTATAAGTGAGGAAAAATTACCTACACATGATGAGTGGATGTTGCATGTCTTATGCGAAGTGCACAATCATCCGTTTGTTGAAAATCTTGAAGGGCACTCATTTGGTGGCAAATTATCTAAGGAAGAAACATCTTTATTAGTTTACAAATCAAAAAGTATAGTGCGACCAAAAGAGATATCAGTTACATTGAAACAAAATGATGCCTTTAGTGTAATAACAATGAAGACAATCTACAACGCACGTCATCGACATCAAATAGGATAGAGGACGAGAAGATCACAAATGCAACAATTATTGGGGCAATTGTCGATTCAAAATTATGTTAAGTGGCATCGATGTGATGATAGAGAGATGGTGACTTTCATGACCCGCTCCCCGTACCCAAGGATTAAGTATCGTGATGGCCAATAACTGAAGTTACCTCCAGCCAATTCTTAAACAAATTAATAAACGTGAGTGGAAATAATATTTAAGTGAGGCTACCAAAATAATCATTAAAGCTTCTATTTAATTAAATTGTTAGAGCTGAACTATGTCTACAAAGTACTTTGTGCTTACCCTACGGGCTGGCCCTGGCATGTCACTTGAAAGTGGTAAACAACTATAAGCACATGGTAGAGTGAGAAATATTATACTAAGAGCATAAAAGCATAAAATTCACCATGGATAATTATTGGCTAAACAATGCTTGATATTAAAATACAGAATATATAACACGGAAATCATTTGACATATAATACAAAAATTACGTAAATAACTATAACCACGGTACAAAACATAACGTAACAGAACAGAGGTCACCGGAGTGACAATCAGAACATAGGTCAATGGATCCATGACAAACAGAGGACCGCAAAGTGGCCAAACAGGGGCCGATGGTTATTTAAGTCCCCTAAGGCATGGGACCTCCGTAGTGATACTTATAAAATAATTACTCAAAACACATTTTAATAAACAGTTATATCCAATGATTTTCCTTATTATATAAAATAAGGCTCATAAAATAAATAACATAATTACATAAAATAAATTATGATAACTAAAAACATACGTAAAATATATTATGGTGACTCAAGGTATAATATAATCTACCGTAAGATTAATTCCAACTCTTTCTTCTTTACTTCCGGCTCTTTTTCCATTTCCTTGTTTTGTTTATTCTTCATGAATCAACACCACACCTATATATATATAGGTGGGTAACTTACGCATGAGAGATGTCTCCTCCAAATTAGAGGTGGCAATTCCACTTCCCATAATTACACTTTGACCCCTAAATTTCTTGATAATAACGTTACTTTACACAATTACACATAATAATATAAAATAAATCGCATATTTTCCCAACTGTGATTAAATAATATTAATATAAATTTTAAAGAATAATTAAAAATCTGAGTTGTTACAGTGACTAACTTGTTCTAGGCACACCCGATTAGTTTGGAGTTGTTACGTGCATTTCCACATGTGTTGATTATGGATTGCATATGCAAGACTAATAGGTATCAACTCCCTCTCTTAGAGATTATTAGGGTAACATTAACGGAGTTGACATTTTCAATTTATTTTGCTTATCTTGGTCATGAACGGGAGGACAACTATACATGGGCATTAGGCGTATTGCATACTATTATGAGAATACTGCTTTTCCAAAAGTCATTATTATAGATAGAGAGTTGGCTTTGATGAAAGGCATATCAAAAGTTCTACCTATGGCCACTAATCTTTTATGTAGATGGCATTTTAGCAAAAACGTTCTGATGAAGTACAAGAAGGCTTTTGAGATGAAAGATAAATGGGATAAGTTCAT